TGTGTATTTCAAAACCTGTATATATACATCTCGAGGACAGGGAATAGTTGTGAGATGTTTACTTGTATGCATGTATTTGGAGATACGTATCAGCCCGCCTCCTGAAATACATTCCTTTCTCAATGAAATGAGTATTCGAATAATTGAAATGTATGCGTAAACGGCTCAGAATTGTTGGAGGTATTTTTATCATTCATATTTAAGGAGGTGATTACCGATCATCTGTGTGTGAAATAGATCAGTTTCTCAGTGAAGGGTGTATTTCAAGGCTGAAATAGAATCAATGTTTTTAAAATTGTCGATGTTTTGAACACTCTAAGAAATTAGAATAAGATTTATTCCCGGTATGACATTCTTTAATTGGAAAACACATCTGCCTAACAAATTTAAACACGTTCATGCAGAACAACATTTTAAACAAAATACTACCCGATTTCCATGCATGATTTTTCATCTATAAATGCAAATATAGTTAAGTGTTTATTTTCTGTTGAACCCGTCGTTGAAATGAACATATACAGAATATTCGTGACTCTGTTAAATGTCAGTTTTCCTGAATCATATACATATTTTACCCATACAAGCATCTTATTTACTTGAACTTACATAATACATTGTGTCGGGCATATTATCCATAACATATGATGGCTCAGGGGTAAGTATCTTTAATACAAAACATACACAAATAGTTATCATAGCTATATCTTCATTAACGTCATTGGTCATATTTACTTGATAATATAATAACATCTTTACGGTATTAAAAGAATAAACAAGGTGAAATCAATCAGCTCTTATTAAATACTACAGTTTCTGAAATACAAATTAGTGATTTGGGATCTTTTTAATGAATTAAAGTCTGGATATTCTAACCACATTTGTATTAAAATTTGTTACAGAATACGAAAATGTCAGCGTCCAGAATTTGGAAATCAAGCATGGCCTGGTTATTCCGTTAATCTCTACGTGTAGGAGATGTCTGTGGCTGGTGCGACATCAAAGTGTAGTGGTAACAGAAGACACTTATACGTCATCCTCAGTTCTCACATAACTGGTCATCTGTCGAGGAATAAAGGGCGCATAAAGCTGGGATTTGGGTTTAATCGCATAAATGATTAAATTCTCCTTCATTCAATAAATATATACTAAATAAATTGTTTATATGCAAACCGTTTCAAGATAATGTTAGTTATGATAATCATTTTGATTTCAGATATCGTTTTATTACATTATGTATTCTGGGCCTTGGGCCTTTATACTGTAACAAAGAAATATGAATCTGAAATCTGATAATTATTTATTTAAAGGAACCTTTTGGCGCAAAATGTTTGAATGACAAGTTATAAAACCGTAGCAACTTTAGACCTAATACAGTCTTTCCAGATTGACGTGTCGGTCCTAGTACTGAAGTGCTATCGCTAAAGCAGCACTCGGTTTCTGACATGTATTATCTATTCTCTTTAGATATTGCCGGTTTTCTGCCTTACATTACACTTGCAGGCAGTGTTTCTGTGCTTGAAAGCGTCAACTACAATATTCCATACGTAACTTGGCACTTGAGATACTCCTTCCAACTTGTACATCACTAACACATGCTTAACCCCTTCCCATCACCACCCACTCAATGATTTTGTCTTAAAACATATGGGTTAAACGTAAAGAATTAGATAAAAATTATGATACATGAGACATCACAATGTTGCAATAATTCATATATCAATAAATACGACGGTGTTTATGCTACTATTTACATTTGTAACAATTTGTATTTTGATAATTACAATCATATGACTGATACGAGCTGAATACGTAAGACTTAAATATTTAATTAAAAAAGATTGTGCTGAAATTTGATTAAAATCTTAGTATGTATATTATTGCTTATACAAATTTTGTATTGTATGTCTGACGTGGATTATAGTAGTATTCCTAATGATAGTTTTATGTAAACGATGTTTCTCGCTGTTTGCCTACAGTAAACGTTTCATAAGGTAATAGTCAAGCTTTCAAAGGGGAACCAGTTTACACACAAGCTTAAGCAAAACGTATGATTTATCGCTCTAACGGATGGGAAAACGCGTTGGGGCTTTTAATGGTGGTAACCTTACGTACACTTTCCAAAAACATTTTGCTCTCGACCGTCATCAAACATAGAAACGACTCAAAAGACACACTGACTAATTCTTAACTATGTATCCGTTATTTGTAGTTCAAATTGGCTTTAGATAATTCCCCGTGAATAAAACTGGTAGCTGAATGCCTTAAAAGAAGAAGCTATCTTCGCCTCAACTGGTTTTCAATTTGCTACTTGAAATAATATTGGAGGAAGACATTTTCTCAGCGCGTATCCACTAAGTAAACATCGACTAGTTTTACAGCGACTTAAACATATGTAGGTGACTGTTAATGCCGCGGGCTCGATAATAAAACTGAAAAAGAAATATAAACTTACTTTATAAGTTAGTTCAGTGGGTGGTTACGATTCGCCTTGCACTTTAGAGCCCTTTGAAATATGTGAGAATGGATTAGCTGGCCTAACACTGTGAGAATGTATGCGTTTGTATTTCATCATTTCAGATTCTGAACAAACCCAAATATTTTCAAATGATTAGTAAGTACATGTTAATTAGTGGGGAGTTAGTTATCGGTAGGAACAATAGCTTTGTTCTCTTGATTACTGGAAAGGAAAATTGTCCAATTTTGTTAAGGTTTTAGGACAAATATTTGTAACAATGTACTAAAAAAATCAATTAAATTATTTTTATAAAAACTTTGCAAACATTACAACAAAGATGTTTGAAAAACATCTACGAGTGTTTGAAGGCAACTAATATGAAATCCAAGGACAGTGTGCTGTACAAAGGAATTAAACATAGATTAAAGTATAAATTCAATATCGAAACGATGCATTTTCTTCTAAAGATTTACATAACATTACACATTGTATTTCACGTTTTTGGGAAAGTAAATATATGACAGAAAGACCTTGCAGGGTGCTTTCTATTCCAAATTGATTTATTTTCGAAGGCTTTGAGTGTGAGTCATCATTTTGCGCCTTTATGAGAAAATATGTCGATCAATTTGTGTCATTTTTGTGAAAGAAAATCATAATTACTTATTAATAATTAATCTTCTCGTAATAGTGGAACAACGCGTGCTTTACTCAGCCATCAGTGTCTCTCAGAGAGTATACTATATAATTACATAGAGGAAACGCTTTAATCAAGTCACCTATAGAAAAGTTTTAACGCATTTGATAATTATCAAAAACATATACCGGTGATATTGAAAAAGACGAAATAACCGTTATTAATTTAATATGAATTTATATTTACAACAATATCTATTATGTTATAACTACTAAAGAGCAAAACAATCAATAATCAGAGATGAAGCGACATATTCTCCCTCATTTAACAAAATCTAATATTTATTGTTTAAAGAATCACATCTCTACTCTAAGCCACAGATTTCCTGGTCCATTTAATGCACCCAATCATCCAGTGTATTCACCAGTAGTTTGTTTCTAAATCTTTTTATCATGACTTTAAGAAACGTGGACACACACATCTACATTTTAAGAAAGTGGATCAAAAGAAATTAGGGTTTTTCAAGATCGAAATATACGTTTCATTTGGCGCCAGACATAACCTAATTTGCTCAAATCGTGGTACATTTTAGACGGTGTTTATCAAAGAATCAAATAAATCAGACCTTTTACATGTAACTAATATACACCTTTGTTCAGTCTTATAGGTAAACAATTATTTTATGGTGTTTACAGGCTAATCCGTATTAGAGATTATCATTAGCTGCGCAGGGACTACCGCAGTCGGTCTAAGTGACCTCATTATATCATCATTGTGTGGCCCCTCAGATATACCGTGTTCTTTAAGACCTCCTTTATTATTCCGACGTTGTAATCCAGATCCCAGATCAGGGGATTGAAATGTTTGGTTCCAAACTCACATGTTCCAGGGACTACATGCAATCAGAAATCATTGTTTGATAAAGGTCCAAATTGGATTAATTAAATCAGAATTGCTTTGAGTTGTGCCGAATGTGTAATTGTCAGGCATTTTGTGGTGACTAATAGTGACGGTTCTGTGTGGGTGTATGCCGTGTTTGGTTACACCAAGATATACCAAACATTTAAATATTATAAATACATAACTCTCCAAATTACACAATTGCTAGTTTAATCTAAAGAAAAAATGTCTATTTCTGTTAATTATCTATACATTATCATCCCATCTGAATATTTTACTTTCCTTGCAAACGATTCAGATAACATTAACATCGATTTCCTCTAAAATCCTTTTCAAAACTAAGAAATGTTTCTGATACAGCATAGCGTTGTTGGCACAACAGAATACAGACATGAGCAGTTACTGTAGATTCGACATAATTAAGATTGTGAACCGATATTGAATTTTACTTGTTAATAAATTGTTCTCAAACTCTTGCAATGAACATGACTTTGTGTCCGGAACATTGTAACATTTCCTGACTCAAACGCGACATCCATAAACGGGCCAATTATGCCGCTTCGTCAAAAATATGATATAATTTCCAACATATGTTTTACCATTTGGGACAGTGTGTTAAACCAGTCGTCGCCCCCCGCCCTAGCCGAGCTGCCTTTAATATCCCGTATCACTTTAAACACATGTGAGACAAGAAACACCGTGTATATTGCCTCTCTTAAATGGCAGGCAATGGCCTGGCAGCGTGTACATTTAAAATGTACACTTGTAAATTTCACTCAATTTCATATCTGGAAAAGCCACTTTCACTTTGGAAATTTATGTTTTCAAAAACAAGGTTTGTTTTTCTCGTGTGAAAAATTAAGAAAAACATGTAAACTGCACTCAAGCGTTAGATTGCAGTCAATCAAAAACTGTAACATGTTGAAAGTGGTGCTTCTCAAATAGAAACGTCTACTTTGTTAACTGTTTGAAGAAAAACTAAGATGTGAATATCAGTTCATATATTTCGTTTTATTGTACTGGCAGTTTGTACATGTCACAGCACTTGTAATCAATTTTAAATTATCTATACAATTTACACGAATAAACATTTTGATTGTAATTCAGCTATGAAAGCACATTTTCCCTCGACTATTTCGCTGGTATACAACATGATCTGAGGTAAGTTTCTATCATCCATACACACATACATTACGGCAGATGAAAGTGGAAATTCAACGAATATTTGAATTTAAATACTATTTGAAACAAAAACCTCCGAACGACAAACATGAGAAAGTGTCCATAAATGTTTCGACAAACTCTAGACAAGTATTAAAGTGTCAATTTCTAAGCGTATAACTTCCGACTAGATTGTAACTAACATATATTGCAATGCATTTCATCGCGTGACATGAACACGTGAAACTGACAAGTGATCGCCACTGAAAGAGCCGTCTACGGCACGTTATCAACGATTGATATAGATAAGGGTAGAAATAAACAAGTTACTTACAAACACCGTGACAGTCACAGAACAAACACTGATTTCAGTCACATAAATTGTCTTTGGCATTTTGGTTCTCATGTCAATTGCAAAAACGGCCTTGTACATATCGGAACAGTATTTGCACATATGCTTCCAGAAAGGAATGTAGAAAATGTTCACCACTTCATCCCTTGCCAATTAGTCCCATCTTAGCTTGATCCACCGCTAATCTTTAGCACTCTGCGGTCACTCTCCGGACTTGGGGGTCCAAGAGTCGGGTCGGACCCGGCTTGGCCACTGAATCTCACGAGATCAAAGTTTTCAAATTTACTGAACACCTGAGCGTTCTCTTTGAAGTTTACCGCGGCCAGGTAGGTATGGCACATGCTTGCACATATTGACGATACTTTTCTAAGTCAAGTGGTGTCATTGCTGACATTGCCCCGGCCAGCGGAGAAAATGCACTACCCCCGGGCCGAGGTACGTCCATGATGCCCCCGGTCCTGAAAGATGCCAGGGAGTGTGGTAGGGCCAGGGAGGGCAGCCCCGTTGATAGACTTGGTCTCAACGATTGCATTGATGAAGGTGCTAAAGATGATGAAATAATAGGTTTACTATTTGCACTATTGAGTGAAGCGGATGAAGACGACGAACTTGTCCCTATTATACTGTCTATAGAAAACCCAGGTTTAGACGAACTTGAACTTGGTGGCTTTTCCGGTTTTTCCAAAGATTCCAGCTTTTTTAACTGACTCGATGTACCTGAACTCGGTAGCCCCAACGCATTTGGATTCAACCCCGCCGACAAGTAGGCTGAATGCTGTAGATGAGACCGCGCGTAGTCCCCCGGGAGGAAGGAGAAATGATGCGACAGTGGGGACATGTAGGGGTACGGGAGGCCCGTGGGGGACGCTCCGAAGGCCGCTGGGTGGGCGTGGGCAGCGAGGAGACTGTGGTGATGGAAGTACGGGTCGGCCCCAGACATGAACGCTGTCGGTTGCTGCATCATATCGGGTGTATGTCGTTTGTACCGCTTTCGTCGTCGTAGGAAGCTGCCGTTGTCGAACATGTCCTCACTGGCGGGGTCCAGGGTCCAGTAGTTTCCCTTTCCGGGATTTCCCGGTTCACGGGGAATTTTCACAAAACAGTCATTGAGGGAGAGGTTATGCCTGATGCTGTTTTGCCAGGCAGGGAATTTCTCCCTGTAATAGGGGAATCTGTTCATAATGAATTCACATATTCCTGACAATGTGAGCCGTTTTCTCGGTGACTGCAGGATAGACATGGTAATCAAAGCGATATAGGAATAAGGAGGTTTTACCACGTTTGATTTGCCTCTTGATTTATCTTCCAGCTTTTTACACGAATCGTCGTCGTTACTGGCAAAGCTGCTGTCATCGGCTTTGGTTTCCTTACTTTCGTTGAGATCTCCATCGATGTCACTTCCGTGGAGGGACAGGGGGATGAGATGGGGGACGGAGGGGGAGAGTCCACCTCTAAATGTTCATCATCACTGCAATCCTCCTCATCTCCTCGCGTAGTCTGCATCAGCACGGAGTTTCCTCCATTTAAACAAATATTGTCTCTGAAGCCTGCGGGGTGGCTCTCGGAGCCTGTGGGTGAGGATGTCATGTGTGTCTTTCTTAGATCCAGGTACTGCTCGTCAGGGATAGCTGCCGTGGGGTGGGGCCCGGGTCGTTCCATGTCGTAACGCATCTCAGACGCCAAAGCAGTAATGGTGAAAATTTTCAGTCCGTGAACACTTCAATAAAAATTGTCCAACTTGCGAAATCACCAAACACGTCTTGTCGCACGACGGATAATATTCATTGACTGACTTGCGCTCGTAGACGTTGAGCCTCTACACTCATGGCGTGGAATGACAGGAGGTTTTTCTGCGCGTGTACTAAGATGCCACTATACTGAAGGCGGCCACCCAGAGAGATTTCTATTCGTCGACTGACGCCGTACAATGAGCGAACACTCCGCCCGCCTGTCAATAAACCCCTCGCGCGGGTCACGTGACCAACCAGCAGCCGCTCCGGTCGGAGTATTAACATATCAATTCGCTAGTTGAGCGCCGTAAATCCGCCCCCAACGATTAGCCGGTTTGTTCAGTCAATATCCCCTCACAAACGCCGCTAAATTTTGAGCCCTTCCACGCGGCTTTGAAACAAAATGGTGCGAAGAAACGCTGGTACTCCCCGATTTTTTCCCTCTTTATTAAACAGGCCTGGTTGTGGCAATTAATTTTTCGCTCTCTGATTCGTCTTACTCGGGCTAGTATTTTCCGCTCACTGTCCCACGCTGGCTTTTGCTAACAGCAATGTTTATTTTTCAGACAGCTTTTTCATCTTTCTTTGTTACCCCAATTATGATGGCCGAGTGATCGCACCGATGAAGTTTAGTCTCATTGAAAAACAAACACTTACATCCTATCCACAAATAGTTGGCAATGAAAATACCTCAATCTGGCTAGCACATGCCTGGACCTCTGTCCCTCCCGACACTGGGTGGGGGCTTCGGGAGGGGACATAACCCCCAAATGCACGGAGTAACGCTTCAAGATTAGCCTGTAAGTTATTCATTTCTTTTATTTCAAACAGGTTATTTAGCAAAGCCAACATATTTTTAAATTTCGTGTCGTTTTTCTTCAACTATCGTCTCTTACTGCAGCGAGTGTTATCAATGCATGTATATTTCACTCTGCGATCATCGCTGTCACTCTTGATAATATCGCGTTTCATGCACGTGTATTTCATGACGGGCCATCAGAAAACACTGACAGTTTTTTTTGTCACAATATGTCTCCGAAATATGGAAACCAGATGCTCCTGGAATATTGAATGGTACATACTACTGTATTAAATCCCTTTCATCGGGGCTGGGGAGGTAAGCGTCGTATTTCTAGACATATGAACATCATAAATCTCTTTGAAATGGACAAGGGTTGTAAATTTCAACTAAGATAAAATCTGCGTTATTCTAAGCCATATTCACAATTTATCCTTTAGAATGAAAAGCACTGTAAATGCTATTTATCACAGATGGTGTGTATTTGTATTCGTTGTTTTCATCCCAGAGAGATTTTTTGCTGTACATTGCCTAGGGCTGCAGTAAAGAGGTGGGTTAAAACTTTAGCAGTAATTGCAATTAGTAAAACTCTCAATGATTAACATATACTTAATCACCAACTGAAAGCAATTAATGAAAAATCACTGTTTTCCTTTTTTGAGAAATAATCTGCTTTTGAACGTAAAACTAGACACATTTTAGCATAGAAGAATACAAAAAGTAAATAATGTGTAATAAATTTATCAAATAACAGATTCGTGTAATAATTGTTAAATCGGCTGATGACAAACAAAAGAATGTACCAGATAGTAAACGTTCTTATGATTCAACGTGACTCATGAGCGAGATTACCCAATTAAAATTTCTTTTATTGACAAGAATTTCTTTCACTGCGATCCACGGGCCTCAACCGAGGGTGGAAATAAACACGATGCCAAAGTGCTGCTTTTGTCTTATTTGTCGAGAAACGCACGCAAATCGGCTTCATGTGAGAGGTGTTTTGTTGAAACTGGTCGTATGAAAACAGTTGCAGCTCCATATTTCGATTCATAGAAGAATGTTATAATCACAGTTATCGTTCATAATTCATATTTCAGTTGAGAAGTATTTTTTTCAGAATCTGAGTTCAAACCAAGTCATGTGACAAACCAGTTCTGTTTAGACATATAATATTATGGCACAATTTGGTAAACTGTTGAAAAACTGTATATTTCACGATTTATCAAAATAATTGACAGATTCAAGCGTTATCATAAATAACATGGCGATTTTCATGTATCATTGAAGAATTAAATATTAATAGAATCTGTCGTCGTCAGTGTTAATCCTGAAATCGACATGGTCTCCCGTGAGTGACGGTGTCGATTTCGCAACAACGGCGAAGTGGTGAAATCTGGCAACGGTGTATGTGATCGGGAGATTATTGCAATAAACTTACATCATGAAATTACCCTAAAATATTTACACCCGAGTCACATCATAATCTGTCAACTTTCATCATTATCTCTCAGTTCTCCATCAGCGGATTATCGCAAACCCTTTGTTTGCCATCCACCCTGGCTTCACCAGAGTGGGGCGACGAACACACACACATTGACAATTATATTATGGAATATATCATAAATTACTCAAAACCAACGCTCTCAAATCTTATCAAACCACAGTCTATATTTACTATGCTTCAGTGGCCAAACATCATAACCGTCCCAACACCATAGATACAGGTGTTGTAAATTAAACATAGACCCAGTTGGCTGGGGAGGTTAGCTAGATTTAATTACATTATTTAAGGGATAACGGATGTTTGTAAACACAGTGGTCATAAAAAGTTAAGGGGGATTGAACGTAGTACAAAAGTGTTGGATTATTGTACACATAAGTGTACTCGCTCCCGACTGAGGCCTATTTATTTCATTGCATAAGACAGTATGTGTTCTCTAACTCTGTTTAATCCAGAACCGGAATTCCTCGCGGGGTGTGTTTTAATTCCGTGAAAACAAAAACATCTAGTAACAGGACGTAAACAACATGTAATAATCTGTTTCCATTGTAGGTAACTATATCACTTCACGCCCCTTCCTTTGATATCACCTCGGTACAATTATCCCCACCCTGGGCCCCCCTCCAGCGTTAAATTCGCACCCTCTGCGTGAAAGCAATGAAACTACATCATGAGCCCCGATTCATGTTGAGAATATTGTTTTGATTTAATTGTCTCATCAGTAATAATAGCTATTAACAACCTTGTACGAGATCTCTGGCGACCGCGGTGTACATTTCACACCCGTTGCAATAAACAACAGTGTATCGCTACTAATATCTACCTCGCTTTTGTCGCTCCCGTTTTGATCTATCGCCGTGCGTCGCTGGGGGTCTTGCTTGATACATGATTGGAGGTATTAACCAGGATAATATTTACTGTTGTAAAGTTCTCTCCAAATGTGTTTTACTTCCCAACTCTTTAATGTCTTTCAGGAATTATGAGATCTCTATTTTTGTGTCAATTGTCACATTTGAAGATGGGATTTATTCCAGGTTGAAAAAAAGGAATTAATTTTCAATGTTGAACTGATAGTCTTTGAACTCATTATGAAGGCATAACAAATCTTGAGTATAGATTTTAGGATTATTTAATTAAACCTTTTGATGTTTGTCATATGAATATATATGTAAAATATATGTCGTAATTGTATATGTGATGACTCTCCCGAATTTCGGTCCAGATTATCAAGTATATGGTACGGAATTTCATAATCAGAATACATTCTAAAACATATTTGGAACAACTGAAAGAAGATTAATCCGCGTGTAAAAATTTCTAACGCACCCCGTTGATATATTTTGATTATATGAGCAGCAATTGTATAATATTGTTTCTGCTTATATTAACTTTCTGAATGTGGGATAATGCAGAGTAACGAAATGTACATGTGTAGTATTAATCAGCACTATAGTTTACAAACAATCAAACCCTGAAATCCAAGAGCTTTGTAAATTGCCTTTTCCATGGATTTAGGAGGGTTAAGTACAGAGCTTATTTTCTAAACCGTTTATGCTGAAATTCCAAGTCAGGCATAAGCATTTGATCGGTCTGTTTCTTTATTTTCACATCTATATCAGCAAGGCGTAACGTATTAGTGTATGGAGTATACAACGTAATGCACATACAGTCGTAAAGCAGAACGACTTTGTACATTTTAATTCTAACTATGGTAAATTGATGAAGAGGATTAACAGTAATGCTGTGTTAAAAGACGGACGATCAATCAATTTATTTGTAATTGGCAAAATATTAATCCAATGTTGGGTATTAGTGTCACTGTTTATAGATTTAAATCATTTGTGATTTTGATTCCATCTATTGTTAAATATATTATTTTGTTCATGAAAAAGACAAAAATAGTGCCTAAACTCTTGACATTTGTAAATTGGATTTGGAATTAGATTACCGAGAAAACGAGATAATGTTTATGTCAGGGTAACTAGTTAGAACAGCTGTCAACTTTTTCATGTCTATTTCAGTATCAATTTCATATTCAAACAAACTATCAAGTTTAATTTCATTTCGTCACATGCTGTAAACGTGACAAGTATCGAAAGTGTTTAAAAACAATCCCGTTGGATTATAATCTTCAATTGGCCGTATCTTCCTATCCGGTTTTAACAGGCCTGTAAAGATGGCAGGGGGAATTGGCAACTGTGAAATGCATTACATTGTCAATTGCATGATGACATAACAAAACCCGTGCGGCGAGTGAAATCGACAACAACAACTGCAGTGGTGTCAGCCCCACGTTAATCTCTCTGCCAGCCACTGGCACACTGCACGTCAATCAAACCACCTCTAATCTATTTCACAAACTCGCATATATTCAGCACCAACTTCTAAACAAAACACACAAATTAGGATCGTTACCCTTTGTATAGTTTAACAGGTTGACCAATTTATAGCGTGTTTATTTTGTTTTGAAATTTAATTAATTGCAATACGTCTTCTGTCTATTCAATCAGTGTCTTTGTGCGTTTTATCACATGCAGAAACTTGTTGTTGATATGTGTATGTTAGAATCAAATTATTTCGTGAATGTTGATAATGTAAATCAGATGCCTGTTTAAGGTAAACAAATAATTAAATAATAATGATTTACTCTTTAGATCTCTTAATGCGTTTTAAAAACATCCTTGAAGTTGAAATGTGTTACACAGAATAAAAAACACTGTAGACATAAATTATTGATATGACATTAAATGACGTTATATGACGTCTCAGTCATCGTAAATGTACACACTACTGCTTGTTTGTCAGATCGGTACACATGATAATGAGTAATTGGCTTCGTCTCATTACCTGGTCAGTCCCTGCAATATCCACACACAGGCTCGGTCATAAGATTTACAACTGGTATCGAAACGCATTTGTTAAGAAAGGACATATTGACAATTAAGGTTTTAAATGGCACTTCTGATTCAACAACAAACAGTTATGTATCTCAACATCCCGGGTGTGCATACACAACACTTGGTGCAGACACTACAACATTCAGGATATGTCTTTGAATGGTCCCAATGGCTTTGCAAAGTCGGTGCTTAATGGATCAAATGATGGTAATACGGTGTTATTATAAGTTGTCATACACGTCAGCATTGTACTTAGCACGTATGTCTCGTGATATTTCATCGTGTGTTTGTTTGTCAGCCACGCGTGCTAGAGTTATACTCAGCCTTTTTTGGTGTTTGTTAGCAAGTCGTTGTATGACACTTAGATACCTAAACTATTCCTCAACCATCCTCGTAGCCCACCCATCCTCACCCTCATCATCTCAGTCCACCACCCATCCAACTACCTACACTAAACAATGTCAGAACACTATATCTGTAATGGTTCACCAGTTTTAATCCACTAATGTATGCTTATGGTTTGACATAGACCAGCTGATGATGCAATGGACATATGATTGACAG